TATTATATAATATACACAGCGCTATATATTATATAATATACACAGGGATAGATAGATAGATAGATAGAGTTAACAGCTCCTGACTGATTCCTTTTCTGCAACTGTCACTAGTCTAATACTATCCTTACCTTTTTTTGTCATTTTACCCCACTCCCTCTAGGATGTAAGCTCATTGAGCAGGGCCCTCAACCCCTCTGTTCCTGTGTGTTCAACTTGTCTGGTTACAACTACATGTCTGTTCGTCCACCCATTGTAAAGCGCTGCGGAATTTGACGGTGCTCTATAAATATCATAATAATAATAATAATAATAATATTATACACAGGGCTATATATTATATTATACTATACTATACACAGAAAAATCACAGAACAAAATAGAACAATAAGGATGCGCCAGAAATAAGTACTAAAATATATGAACTCAATAAAATATAAAATAGAATAAAATTTTGGATAACAATAGTCAAAAACTTATCAAAGTCCGTGATGCGTAATCCCACGTAAAAACAAAAGGAGATTCTTTAAGGTGTAGAGTAGGGTCAAATCTTCATAATGGAATGTACAGGATACAGTGGAACATATGTGGAGAAAAGAAGAAACAGGACTCCAATGGTACAGTATGTAAATACGTAAGAATAAAATAGTAGAATAGGTCTTACTCACAATTTTCAGAGCTGAAGATCCAGCTCTGATATAAAGCACGTGGAGTGGAATAATCCCCACTCAGGGATATATGGAGTAGACTTCAAATCGCAGTTCTCTAGTACACGTACATCGTCCAAAGTACAGACCCAAAAGAAGAAAATAAAATATATAGTGCTCTCTGTGTTACGGTGAAGTATTAAAATTATAAAGAGGATATTACTCACATTCTTTTGAGCAGATATATACTGCTCACTATATGCGCTTGGGTGGTATGATCCCCACCTATGGATTCTTTAGGCTTCTTCTGAATATACGTAGTCAGGTGAAAGATAAAAAAAGAGAAAATGGCAATAAAGTGTTTTATGCCAAAAATTCTTTATTGTAACGTAATAAAATAATATCTAAACGCGTTTCGACACAAGGGCTTCTTCAAGGGCTTCTTCAAGTAGATAGCCCTGTGTGTAATATATATATATATATATATATATATATATATATATATATATAAATAGCCCTGTGTATAGTATAGAAAAAAACAGAAAAAAATCAGCGCTTAAATAGCCACAATATATAAAGGCTGCACTCCTCAAAAGGGAATCCCCTACAAATCCCCAACGATAGAAAAATCACAGAACAAAATAGAACAATAAGGATGCGCCAGGAATAAGTACTAAAATATATGAACTCAATAAAATATAATAAGTACTAAAATATATGAACTCAATAAAATATAAAATAGAATAAAATTTTGGATAACAATAGTCAAAAACTTATCAAAGTCCGTGATGCGTAATCCCACGTAAAAACAAAAGGAGATTCTTTAAGGTGTAGAGTAGGGTCAAATCTTCATAATGGAATGTACAGGATACAGTGGAACATATGTGGAGAAAAGAAGAAACAGGACTCCAATGGTACAGTATGTAAATACGTAAGAATAAAATAGTAGAATAGGTCTTCCTCACAATTTTCAGAGCTGTAGATATCTACTTGAAGAAGCCCTTGTGGCGAAACGCGTTTAGATATTATTTTATTACGTTACAATAAAGAATTTTTGGCATAAAACACTTTATTGCCATTTTCTCTTTTTTTATCTTTCACCTGACTACGTATATTCAGAAGAAGCCTAAAGAATCCATAGGTGGGGATCATACCACCCAAGCGCATATAGTGAGCAGTATATATCTGCTCAAAAGAATGTGAGTAATATCCTCTTTATAATTTTAATACTTCACCGTAACACAGAGAGCACTATATATTTTATTTTCTTCTTTTGGGTCTGTACTTTGGACGATGTACGTGTACTAGAGAACTGCGATTTGAAGTCTACTCCATATATCCCTGAGTGGGGATTATTCCACTCCACGTGCTTTATATCAGAGCTGGATCTTCAGCTCTGAAAATTGTGAGTAAGACCTATTCTACTATTTTATTCTTACGTATTTACATACTGTACCATTGGAGTCCTGTTTCTTCTTTTCTCCACATATGTTCCACTGTATCCTGTACATTCCATTATGAAGATTTGACCCTACTCTACACCTTAAAGAATCTCCTTTTGTTTTTACGTGGGATTACGCATCACGGACTTTGATAAGTTTTTGACTATTGTTATCCAAAATGTTATTCTATTTTATATTTTATTGAGTTCATATATTTTAGTACTTATTCCTGGCGCATCCTTATTGTTCTATTTTGTTCTGTGATTTTTCTATCGTTGGGGATTTGTAGGGGATTCCCTTTTGAGGAGTGCAGCCTTTATATATTGTGGCTATTTAAGCGCTGATTTTTTTCTGTTTTTTTCTATACTATACACAGGGCTATATATATATATATATATATATATATATATATATATATATATATATATATATATATATATATATATATATATATATATATATATATATATATATTACACACAGGGCTATATATTATATGATATTAAACACAGGGCTATATATTATATGATATTATACACAGGGCTATATATTATATTATACACAGGGCTATATATTATATTATACACAGGGCTATATATTATAATACACACAGGGCTATATATTATGATATTATACACAGGGCTATATATTATGATATTATACACAGGGCTATATATTATGATATTATACACAGGGCTATATATTGTATTATATTATACACAGGGCTATATATTATATGATATTATACACAGGGCTATATATTGTATGATATTATACATAGGGCTATATATTATATTACACACAGGGCTATATATTATATTACACACAGGGCTATATATTATGATATTATACACAGGGCTATATATATATATATATATATATTATATTATACACAGGTCTATATATGATATTACACACAGGGCTATATATGATATTATACACAGGGCTATATATGATATTATACACAGGGCTATATATTATATTACACACAGGGCTATATATTGTATTATATTATACACAGGGCTATATATGATATTATACACAGGGCTATATATTATATTACACACAGGGCTATATATTATGATATGATACACAGGGCTATATATTATATTACACACAGGGCTATATATTATATTACACACAGGGCTATATATTATGATATTATACACAGGGCTATATATTATTATATTATATGATATTATACACAGGGCTATATATATTATATTATACAGAGGGCTATATATGATATTATACACAGGGCTATATATATATTATATTATACACAGGGCTATATATATATATTATATTGTATTGTATTGTATGATATATTTTATTATATTGTATTATATTGTATTATATTATATTGTATTATATTATACACAGGGCTATATATGATATTATACACAGGGCTATATATATATATTATATTATACACAGGGCTATATATATATATATATGATATTATACACAGGGCTATATATTATATTATATTGTATTATATGATATTACACACAGGGCTATATATTATGATATTATACACAGGGCTATATATTATTATATTATATGATATTACACACAGGGCTATATATGATATTATACACAGGGCTATATATTATATTATATTGTATTATATGATATTACACACAGGGCTATATATTATGATATTATACACAGGGCTATATATATATTATATTATACACAGGGCTATATATATATTATATTATACAGAGGGCTATATATTATATTATATTGTATTATATGATATTACACACAGGGCTATATATTATGATATTACACACAGGGCTATATATGATATTATACACAGGGCTATATATTATATTATATTGTATTATATGATATTACACACAGGGCTATATATTATGATATTATACACAGGGCTATATATATATTATATTATACACAGGGCTATATATATATTATATTATACACAGGGCTATATATTATATGATATTATACACAGGGCTATATATATATTATATTATACACAGGGCTATATATTATATTATATTATACACAGGGCTATATATATATTATATTATACACAGGGCTATATATATATGATATTATACACAGGGCTATATATTATTATATTATATGATATTACACACAGGGCTATATATTATGATATTATACACAGGGCTATATATATATATTATATTATACACAGGGCTATATATATATGATATTATACACAGGGCTATATATTATGATATTATACACAGGGCTATATATTATTATATTATATGATATTACACACAGGGCTATATATTATGATATTATACACAGGGCTATATATATATATATTATATTATACAGACGGCTATATATTATATTATATTGTATTATATGATATTATATTCCAGCCCACTCATGCTGACTCCCACCCCATTCTCCCTATTGGCTATACTGGCAATATGACGATAGAGATCTAAACACCAGAGACTAATGGCCAGCGGTACACCTGCTCCCTGGTGATTAGAACTGGCCTGATTGGCCGCCATTTTCTCGGAGACCAAAGTGTCATTTAGGGTCAGTTTGCTCCACAAAAATGGCTCCTGGTTAATGACATGGGGGAGGTGCCTGGCGTTTCCATGGTTACTTCTCGTAGCGTTTCTGATGGGTAGAGAGCAGAGCCAGTGGTGACCCAGAAAGCCCAGAGCAAGAGGACTCCATGGGGTGAGACCTTCATATTGTGTCTGTCTGTCTCTGTATAGTGTCACCATGTGACCAGTGTCT